TAGAAAGTATAACAGTTGCAGGACTGGGCTTAAAATTGATGATTTACAATGGTCTAACAAATGTGAAATGTAGTGATTTATGCCAATCATTGGACTTCCACAGGATGGCAGTGTTGTAACACTTTCATGGTACAGTAAATTATTTATGTTGTAGTGAATTCTTCAAAAATCGAGCTTCCTACAGTAAAAATGTATTTCAGTGACTTAAGAGGGCATAGATCAGTAGCCAGGCCAAGTGGTGCAATACAGATGCTTGAAGGGATACACCAAAGAAGACAGCAAGTGGTTGGAAATATCATCGCAGTCACTTCAGTGACTTTTGGAAAGCATACAGTACCCTGGGAGCAGACAGTACTCCAGTGAGACCACACAGGTGCTATGGAAACTATATACCACTGGTAAATGATGCGTTCCCCAAACCTGTTCGTATGGAAGTTTGCAAAGGATTGCATGAGAACAGGGATGTCTTCGTAAGATCGAGGCAGTAACAAAGACAGTGGTTTATGATTTGTAGGAGTGTTTAAAAATCTGGGAGGTGGATTATTGCTGTTTGCCACTGAAGGAACAAAAATTCATTTTGACTTCTAAGTTGGCTGGTTACTTCAAATGTAATCAGACTCATGGCTGTTCAGAGTTGATATTTCTCTCTTCACATTCCCATTCTTCTTCACACTGGAATACTGAGGACCAAAACCCTGTCAAAATAAAGTATATGAATCTTAGTGCATACATAATAATCATTCATGTTGTTAATATTAATGATGTTCTTGGCCTCTACTTTCTGGGGGATTATGAGTCCCCATGGTTGATATAGATCCATTAATACATATGCTTAATATTAATTTTTAATTCTGTTGCTTTTCAGTTTCTTGGCATGCCTCTGCTCTTGTGTTAAAAAAAGAACAAGCATATCTCTATGCATTATCTAAATAGGTAGTGGACTGTTAAATGTTTTGCTTCTTTGAGCTCTAATCCCTTCAATTTCTCCTCATATAGAAACCTTCTTTTGTCACTTGTTATCAGAGAGCAATTCCCCCACCAGCGAGCCGCAAAAACAGGATGGGAAGAGAAAACTATTTCCAAGCTAGAACATCTTGGGTGGATGATTTATTTCCCTAGGAGAAGAAAAAACAATGCAATTGGGAGCAACAATATTTTGCTACTTCCTCTAAAATTGGGTGTAATAGGCAGGTTTATCCTAGTCAAAGGAGGAAAAAGTCATTTGGATGGCTGAAATATTTGGAATGATACAGTTCTCGTTCAGTGTCACTGAAAATGCGGGGGGAGGATGGACTACTATGGAACCAATGCTTTTTGAAATGTGTGTGTATTCATATTCTTCCCACCTTTCTCTTCCTCCCCTCTCCTCACTCTTTTTTTTTTTTTTTGCAGCATATAGCACTTTCTACATTGTGGGGTTAATATTATCGATGCAGATACCTTTTGTGGGATTTCAGCCAATTAGAACAAGTGAACACATGGCAGCTGCAGGTAAGAAAATGAAATGTATGCTTCCAAACAGCCTGCTTAGCACAAGAAAACCTCAAACCCTTGCGGCTTTCTTTCATTGTGTTAGAAAGAACACCTACTAACAAACCAAATTGTTAAAGAAAAAGAGGTACAATTTAGTGTCTATAGGGAAGTTTTCTTTCCAATTGACACATTATCCTCCTTTGTGTGAGTTAATGGTGGCAAAATGCCTCCATAACACTGAATCAGTTATGCGTTCTGACAAGCATTTATTTTACACATTGATGATCTCTACTGTTTTGCAATATAATGTTGCCTTCAAGCATTGTACAGTTGAAATATTCCTTGTTCGTAAACACAGTTTTTACTGAGCAATTTGGGTTTAGAGTTGATAGTCTTCTGTAATTTTTCAAAGTCAGATAAATACAAATGACTTAAATTACTAATCAGGAGGCTGATCTTTGAACAACTGATTTCAATCTTGTTTGATTCTTTTTATTTCTTTAAAGTAAGTTGATTTTTCCATAGTTGTTAACTGTCAGACATCTTGATTTCTTGACGGCAATGACCTCTACTTAGACTAATAGGTTTGTGTTTAACTGCATACACTGTTTGTGTGATATAGTTTAGTTTGTTAGATTCCTCAGGTTTTTTATTATGTGTAGTCACTTACCAAAATGTATTTGGGACAGCAATTGGAATATTAACATTTACCAGAAAAATACTTCAAAAATGGAGACTTTTTTCAACAATCTGAATATAATGGAAAGAGTAAAGATTATCAAACCACCATTTTGCATCTGAAGAATTTTACATTTATTTAGTGAATAGAGTTTGTGTCTTTCTCTAGGAGATCAGGACTAGTAAATTTCAACATTGTGCACCTCAAATTTATTGTTAAATTGAAGAAAGACCATACACTTGAGTTCTGTTTTCTTCTTCTGTTAGCTACCAGTGAATTTTCATTTTTGAATGGTCTAATCATTGGATTGATCTGATTATATACACCGAAATGAATAACAACAGAAAAACTGTGTCCAGGTTCTGGTTTAATGTTAAACTCCAGGCAGCCTTTTTGAGCATGTGGGGTGCTTACCCAGTGGATTCTGGTTTTTCAACACTAGCTTTATATAATTGAGTTGTCGGTATCACTTAATGCTTGCTTGTTTCTTTCTTTCATTAAATCCTCTTGCTTTGTTCAGTAGCTTAATTTCCATATATTACTATATTAGCCTTGTTTGTGTGTTGCCTGGGGTCTGTGTCTTAATTTTTGACCAGTCTAGGTATGTTAACCTGTGTTTTTGTCATAATCAATGCAATCTAGTTTTCAGGTGATTCTCTCCCTTTCCCCAATTTAATTTGGGAGCAAAGAGGTGGTGGGTGTTGGAGCTCTTGATATAATAAGCAAAGAATGTTTTGTAGAGTGTTATCTCTCATTGCAAGTTTCTCTCATTGCAAGAAAGTATCATCCCTGTCAAGTATTAAAGGCTACTTGTCAGAAAGTGATATTATACTGGTTTTTAGATGTAAGGGTGTACCTTACATTTATTTTTCTAATTCAAATATGGCCGACTTATGCCAATTGCTTTAACAGCTGTTAACTGCTTTTTTTAGCATTTAAACAAAAAGCTTTCTTCTCTCTTTAGGTGTTTTTGCACTACTGCAGGCCTATGCGTTTTTGCAGTATTTGAGAGACAGATTAACAAAGCAAGAATTCCAGACATTATTCTTCTTGGGTGTCTCACTAGCTGCTGGTATTGTATTCCTGAGTGTCATCTATTTGACATACACAGGTAAATAAGTGAAACTAGTTTACCTTTGGAGCAGGTAAACCAGATGATCATCATTTGGTTTAATTTAAAGTAGTTGTTGGTAATGCCACAGCAAACCAGTGCCTGTGTTACTCTGTCTTTCTGTGTGTTGGAATTTGTGCTTTCTGGGCTGCACAAAAAATCACTTTGTAGCATCATTCCAATATTTCAGTTTTATCCATAATCCACGTAACGATGTAAGCAGTCAGACTGGATGAGGAACATAACTACAGCCAAAGTGTATTATGAAGATATGTATAGCTGATCTATTCTGAATAGCATTGATAGGTCAAGGTCAGATTGCTTACTTTCTGAAATACTAGGATCTGATTTCTCTATGACTGGAATTAATCTATAAGTTCTACTTTACTTCTGTGGTTCAGCCTCCAGTCTTCAAGGCAGTTCTACCCAATCTCACAAGAGCAAGATTATATCTCAAATACAGTTCTGTTTTGTCGGTTTTATTTTGGAAAAATAAAACAAGAAAACATTTCTGAGACATGACATGTTTTTATTTTAACCACAATTTTTAAATGTCTAAACTAGATCTTAAACTAAAACCTTCAGTCAGATTATACTAATTTTAAATATCAGATAGAGGGAAGACTTAGTGTGTGAGGCACAAAGATTTGGATAATAAATGAAAGGATTTAACTTTCTCTTATTTCAGCTTGTCTGTATTTGTCTTCAGAGGGAGCTGAAACAGTTGCAAGTAAAGTGGAAATAAAATTTAAGAATCTTACTGTTTCTTTTCATCTTAAGATATTAAAGTATCTAAAGGCTTTGTTTACATGTAAAGCTTATCAGCATGTCTAGTAGCAGCTTTTATATTCCATGCCACATGTGGATTCATCAGTAGAGAAACAATAGGAAACCAGTGTTTCATTGAGTATTAGTGTTTTGGCTATAGATCGTTCCCAGTTTCCTGATCAGGCATTTCAGAAAAATTAAATGCATTCTTATCAATTATGTTTTCTGTTTCTTATACTTCTTTACAGACTGTAGGGTGCTATCTGTCATATTATCTGAGAAATATTTTATTTATTATTGTATTGCTTTGACTATTGGAGGTGTGCATGTCTTGATACTCAATGAGTACAATGTGGTCCTTTAAGACTCTTCTTCTAAAACTAACTTCATGGTTGGTAGACTTTATAGCCTGCCTAATGCAGTAGGTCTGGTTCGCGTATATTGCAAGTTCAGTGAAATTTCTTTGGTTTTGTACTATAATTTGAGGGAGTAGAAAAATTATTGCATTTAAATACCTAGGCAGCAAAAGGTTTTTTTGGTTTTTCTCCCCTTCTCTTTTTCAGGTTATATTGCTCCTTGGAGTGGTAGATTTTATTCATTGTGGGACACTGGGTAAGTAAGGATAAAGGATATAAGGATTTAGATATCAATAGCATTCTACTGAAAACTAATAATCTTTTGCTTTCCTCATCCTCAAATCCATTTAGTATTTCAAGTCAAGGAGACTATAGTGGGCTTTAATCCGTTACCTAAAGAGAGAATTTGTAGTCACCATTTCATGATCTTTACAACCATTTCACTGATTTGTCTATTACATTTCTTACTTCTTTGGAAGTCTTTGAATATGTAGCGGTATGTTTTTCTGTATGAAATTGTAGTACTTTGCATAAAATAACTAAAAGCTGTACCAACACTTGAGGACACATTTAAAAATTACAAAGAGCCTTAAACTTAGACTATTTTCATTGCACAACATTGCATGAAATGACAAAGATGTTCCACATATGATCTTGCATGTTGCCTGTTTATTATGTTCATACATCTGTTTTGTGTATACAGATGTATACTCTGAACAACTCTGGTTTATTCATGTGTGTGCTCATGGGTAAAAACCCATGTTAGTGTTTTGTTTTAGTCAGCTTTTAAAACTCTGATGTTGGATTCTTTAGCCAGCCAGGAGAATAGGAATGAAACTGAAGATATTTTTCTCAGATAAATGTTTTTAAGGTGAAATTCAATGGACAGATTGTTTTTTTTTTTTAAGATTAAAAGCAGGGATAGAACTTCAGACTTTTGCAGTTCAGTTTTTTTCAGGCTCCAAAGTCCAGCTCATACAGGATTCTGTACCAACTCTGTAATAACTGTAGTAGAACAGATGTCAGTAAAGAAGCCTCAGATTTATTTGAAGAACATATAGATGTAGTTCTTTGCCTGTAAATGAAGTTGTGTGTGTGTGTGTGTATACACACACACATACAAAGCACTAAACTTTTGAGGGCTTGTCTACATTAGAAAATCATTGTTTTAAAACACACAGTGCAATTTTGAATGAGCACTAGATCTCAGTGAAGAAAAGGACATATGTTTGATACTTCACCATTCAGTCACGTAGCAGATTAGGTCCATGCATATAGCTGTCTTTAATATAGAACACAGTTTTGTCCTTGTCTGCACTGAGTGTTTGACATGTTTAGTTGACGTGTATTTCCAAGTGTAGACAAGGCCTGATTTTTTTTTTTTTTTTTCCCCCAGCATCTGAAAGAATGTGTGGGCATCAGTAACTGGTCTGGTACTTAATACTGTAACTTTTTGTACCAAGAAAATGATGGTATTCTCTGTAGGGGAGAGTTTTCAAAATACAGTGTTGAAAATCTAGGAAACTTACTGATGTGGATGGTTATCTCTTCAAAATGTAGTGATGGCACATAGCTGCATGTTTTTCTTGTGATGAATTTGGCTTCCTATTTTGTCATAATAAAAGAAAACATCCATAATTTTCATTCTTTTAATTATTATGGAAATAATCCTTTATATTGGTGTTTCAAATAACTCTACCAAATACTTCCTAAATACAGTAAGACCTGAGGACTTTTTTTGGTATAAAAGTTTCATCAGATTTCTGCTGAATAGAGCACTTGCCACTTTAAATTGAAATGCTTCCTTTGAAATGAATTTCAGAATTCCTAATGTTTACAAGTTTTAATAATTTTATCTTTTCAAAATAATTTGAACTGAATTTTTTTTAAAAAAGGTATGCGAAAATTCACATCCCGATCATTGCCTCTGTGTCTGAGCATCAGCCTACAACATGGGTTTCCTTCTTTTTTGATCTGCATATTCTCGTGTGTACTTTCCCAGCAGGGCTGTGGTTCTGTATCAAAAACATCAATGATGAAAGAGTCTTTGGTAAGAGAAAATATTTTAAAATTGTTTTGAAAAGTCTTGCCTTCAACTTGATTCTATTTTGGTTTTGTTTGCTCAAAGCTGGTATATGGCTTGTTCTAAAAAAGGTTTAAAAGTGATGTGTTTAAAGATGATTATTAAAAGTTGCCTGTACCCAGCAGCATTTAAAATCATTTATAAAAATGCAGAGATTGATGAAATGGTGATGGAGTGTCGTCCCAAGAGGTGGGATGGAAGTATTTGCCAGTATGGCTCTGTTCTGCAGCTGGAGTTGTGTACTGTTCCACAGGCTGATCTTGCAAGTTCCACAGCACAGTTCAGCCAGATGAACGGCTCAGTGCAAAGGGAAGGTCCTTACCCTACGCAGGCTGCAAGGCAACTGACCCTTCCCTGGGTGTCTGGCACTCATCCCATCACAGATGATGAGTCAAAATGCCTTTTCTTTCCAGATTTTCTGCCAGTTTAGCGAACTGAATCACTTGCTGTGGAACAAGTGCTAGATAAGGTACAAGCCTAAGTGGAGGTGTGGGGTCTCCAATTGTTTATTTGTACGAAGCTGTACTGTGAAAGCAGACTTGTAAGATTATGAATGAGGCTTGTAAGGATGAGATTTGGAATTCTAGCCCATACAGTTAAGATCACTCAGGTCTTGGGCTCTTCCATGGGCAGGAGGCTCCAGACCAACATAGCTGCCTCTTTGCATTACCTGAGAGGTGTGTGGGCAGTGGGAACATTTCCTGTGTTAAATTCACTGACACAGCAGTATTCTGTGCTTTGTGGCTTGCAATGAGTCCTTGTCAAGACCAGCTGGGCAACTCGCTTTCAGCCTCTTACTGCTGCATCGTCCATTTAAGTCAGCATAAAGGGACCTATGAATGAGAATGGAGAACCATACTACTTTGCTACAAAGCAGAAAATATTTATGTAATGTAATCTGATAAATCTATGTCCCTTGATGTCCGTGGCAAATCTTTCACAACAATGTATTGTTAAACTGTAGCAGACAAGGAATAGCCACTATTACTTGAACAATAGATGTTCCTAACAAGTGTATACAGGTTGGGTGGTGGTGATTGGTTGTTTTTTTTTTCCTTCTAAGAAGTGTTGTGAATATTCCTTACTATTCTGAAAATCTTGTGTTGGTTAGTTTTTTGTGTTGGAGGGTGGGGCAGGTGGGGAGTAGAGTTAATACCGTTCAGGGAAACTTGCTTCAGAATAGGGCTTACAGTATCATATTATTTGTCTGTATGGAATTATAATGTAGACAAGCCCCCAATTTGTTCACAGATATCTTTAACTTAAATTTGAATTTGATATTTACATGAAATTCTAATACTTTCTTTTGCCTTTTCAGTTTTGATATTTGTTTGGTCTAGGGCTGTTTCACCTTTTTAATCATATGAAGCTACCTATTATTCCAGTAGTATTTTTGGTGTGTGATATTACATTTGACTAATAATGTATCTTCTGACACATTATTAACGAATATGAAAATGGGGTTGTGTTATTATTAACAGTTGTCAAGATGGACTTCAGGAAGGGTTTGAGACTTAAAAAGGATAAACGTTATTTGAACTGTATCTCTGTAAATTAAAAAGCAATGAAATGCAAGATGCATACTCAAGTCTTTGTATACACAGATGCTCAACCCACTTCCAGAAGTAGTTTTATGGAAAGCATGTACGTGTGCAGTCAGAGTGAGTGTTATTTTCTAAATGTCATCAGTAGCTTTGTTTTTTTGCAGTTGCTCTGTATGCAATCAGCGCCGTTTATTTTGCTGGTGTGATGGTTCGGCTGATGCTCACTTTAACTCCAGTGGTCTGTATGCTGTCTGCAATTGCTTTCTCCAATGTCTTTGAGCGTTATTTGGGTGATGATATGAAGAGGGAAAATCCACCGATAGAGGACAGCAGTGATGAGGATGACAAAAGGAACCCTGGCAACCTGTATGATAAGGTGAGGGGAGGGAGCAAAAGTTAGAAGTCAGAAAACAGCTTATTTTTACTAATTTTTTTTTCTTTTGCTCAGATATTTTAAATACCACTAGAGATCTGAGTCACTAGCATCTAAATTTACAACAAATATTGATGTTTTCCAATAAAGTGTAACTCATGTCCTGAAAAAAAAAAAAATCAGTGTCAGTGTAGAATTTGGTTCCTTCTGGCTTGATCGGTGATGAGCCTTTAACCTAAAGGAAGTGTACGGTGTTGACCCAGCTTTCTATATAAGCGATGGAAGACAGTTGCACACTCTCCTTAACTAAGTATAGCAGTTCTGTGTCCCTGAATGTTTCCCTCTTGTATTTCCTCTAACACATGGTGAAATTAAAGAATAATATATTTTATGAAAAAGTATTTCTATTCATAAACTTGCATATTATCTTCATCTCTTCATCATGAAAAAAATGCTGTTAGGTACTAATTTTTTTTATCCCTTAGGTTTTGTTATACTGACCCTGATAATGCATGAGCCTTGGGATTCTCCCTTTTCCTCACAGTAAATACCTGTGCCTTTCTCTTTTCTGCCTTGCGTTATAAAAGGGCATCATCATACTGAACCAAACCAAGGAAGTCACACATTGACCCTCAAGTAATAGTTGTGGGGCTTTTACTTCTAAAAGAGGCTTTGAAGGAATCATCCATTTTTACAAGTTGCCAGATTGTCAAAATATTCTTGTGGATACTTAGTTAATTTACGCTACAACTTGGTCTAGCTTTATAGTATCTCGTAGCATTTATGGGGTGCATGTGGTGAGGAAAAAGGCATGGCTTCCATTGTCACAGGTGATAAAAGTTGCCGTAACAGATCTATTTGTGTTTGTTTAGGCAGGCAAAGTGAGAAAACATGTGTCTGAACAGGAAAAAACAGAAGAAGGACTGGGTCCCAATATCAAAAACATTGTTACTATGCTGATGCTGATGTTGTTGATGATGTTTACTGTTCACTGTACCTGGGTAACTAGCAATGCATATTCCAGCCCCAGTGTTGTTCTTGCTTCCTATAACCATGATGGGTAAGTAAGGTCTACAGGTCTGAAAATAATTAAAGGGCAAAGCTTTTCTACTTCCTTTGCGTTAGCAATTTGCTTAATCTTGTTTTAATCACTTATTATATTAAGGCAGAATTGTCACCTGAATAAAAATAATCTTAATACTCTAATTTTCAAAAAGATACAACATTGTCCGAACTATTTAATGTAAAAACTTAAAAATAATCCTATCCAAAGCCAATAAAAATTATGGTTAAAAAAAGAAAGTTTTTGAGTCAATTGGAAAACTTGTTTATCAATATATATTTGAGTGGAAATGCATTTAGTCACATCTTCAAAAGCAGTTCAGCTTATGGCCATTCAGCTCTTGATGGGTTCAAACTTACGACTGCTGTGACTGAATCCCTTAAAGGGAGCCGAACATGTAAGAAAACCCTTATTTGTGAGCCCAGATTTATTGAGATACAGTTTATTTGTTGCTAGTATTTGTACCGATGTAAATAACGTGAACTGTTTTCCAGCACTCGCAATATCCTAGATGACTTCAGAGAAGCCTACTATTGGCTGAGACAAAACACAGATGAGCACGCCAGAGTGATGTCGTGGTGGGACTATGGCTATCAGATAGCAGAAACCGGACCACCTTGGTTGATAACAATACTTGGAACAACAGCCACATAGCTCTGGTAAGGGTGGCAATTTTCTATGGAGTAGAAACACCAAAATGTTTACATTGCAGTCAAATATGAAATTGTAAATGTCTGTTGATGGATAGGATGATATTAAGGAAAAATTCCATAGAGTGGGAAACACAGAGGTGGAAGGAACATATTTTTTTGCATTTATTAGAATTCAAGTATGAAGAGTTTTGGGGCTAGAAAGGATCGATTTTGCTTTTTGAGTTTCCATTTTGTTTACTTGGAGTTTCCCAAACTTCACCTGTACTTCAGTTTGTCAGATTTTCTTTGTGGGAGGACAGACAAAATCTAATGTAACTATGCAAACAGGGATCATTTCAGTTCAGCAGCGTCTTTGCCAACAGGATTTTAAATGGCACTATGAAAACTGCCCACATGAAACAACAAACTTTCAGGCATCTTGGAGATTAGAGAAAGTTTTGAATAGCAACGGACGTGTTGCAGATTTGATACAATTCTGTCTTCTCAAATTTGCAGTTAGACAAAACATCTGTACATTTAATTTCTTTCATTTCTGAAGAGTAAATTTAAGCTTTGTGCATGTGCTTAAAAGCAGGGTGTTAGCATTGCCTGTGGTTACAGGGGCACCACCTTGCCAACTTAAACTTTTTTCAGAAACAAAAGAATGCTCTATATTGTAGCTGGGCTGCAGTCCTACTAGATGCCGTGTAATCCCTCCTCATCACTCAGTGACGACATCACTCATGACTCAGTGGCCATTTCTCCCCAGAAGACCTATGTCATGCTACATGGGCAGAATGAGGAAGAGGCTTGAGGAATGTATTAGGATAGTTTGTTATCTTGTGTCCACAGCACAGCAGTTGGACCAGATCTGCAGACAAGCAGTGTTCAAAATCAACAAATTAAGCTGTGCTTTGAGCATACAAAGTCCTGAAAAAACGTGTATTGAGGAAGGAGGGATCACGTATGCATGCTTTTGACAGGGGCAGGGATCTCACATCAGCCAAAAGCAAGCTTGGGAAATTGTAATGTTGGTGCTAATATCAGTCAATGAGCCTTCCCGTGTACTTCTAAGGCACTTTTCTCTTATTTTGGTTGTTGACCTGACAGCGTTAGTGTGTTTTGATGGACATTCAACTCTGATGGCTTCTACAAGAAGCAGAAGTGCAGATACTGTATCTAGACCAACAGATCCCTGCAGGACAAGGTGCATCATGTGAATAGAGAGGCTGTGGAAGTCATCTGTACAGCATAAGCACAGTAACCATACACATTACAGCAATTAGCAATGATGGTTTTAATTCTCTCCAGTATGACTGCTGGTGCTGTCAGGTTCCATTTCAGAATGAGTAATTCATAAAGGGGGACCCAAGCAATAAGTGCATGTTGTGGCGAATACCTGTACTTGCGTTCTAAATGAGGCATGCCTGGAGACAGGTGCAGATGACTTCCTCCTGCGTGGAAATGGGAATCTGCCAAATAACTTCACATTCATTAGGATAATGGCCAAGAAGCTGAGGTTCTCAATCTTTTTGACAGATTCCAGCCTAAGCTTAGCTTTTTCTAATTATGTTCTTAACTGAATGCTACCCATTTGGATGCAATGTTATTTATATTGTAGTTACTCCCTTTTACTACAGTGATACATTATTATGCCTGTAGTGCAAGAGCTTCAAAAGCAAACAGAAGTACTGAACTGAATGCCAGTTACTGACCTAAGTGAATTGTTGTGGTGGTTTAATCAGGCTGGCAGCTGAAACAACCACACAGCCATTCACTCACTATCCTCCCCGCCCAGTGGGATGGGGGAAAGAATCAAAAAGAGAAAAAAAAAAAAGGTAAAACTCATGGGTTGAGATAAAGACATTTTAATAGGACAGAAAAGGAAGACAATTAATAATAGTAATAATGATAAAAGAATATCCAAAACAAGCGATGCACAGCACAATTGGTCACCAATCAAAGCTGATGCTCAGCTAGTTCCCGAGCTGTGCTGCCTCCTGGCCAACTCCCCCAGTTACATACAGAGCATGACATCATATGGTACGGGATATCTGTTCGGGTCAGCTGCCCTGGCTGTGCTCTCCCAGCTTCTTGGCCACCCCCACCTTCTCGTTAGCAGGGCAGTATGAGAAGCTAAAAAGTCCTTGACTGCTGGGCAACAACTAAAAACATCAGTGTGTTATCAACATTATTCTCATCCTAAATCCAAACCACAGCCCTACACCAGCTGCTAGAAAGAAAATTAACTGTATCCCTGCCGAAACCAGGACAATTCTTTAAGTGAAATGACCAATATGGAAGAGGTTCTGGATAGAGCTTTAAAAAGTCTTTCAAGGCCAAAACTATGTTATGCTTTTAACTCAAAGATGTCTTATTCTGATGCTGTCTCTGCGTAAACTTACTTTGAATTCAATGCTGAGGGTGCTGTATGCTACTGAGTACAATGCAGAATGGCTGCTTCGTTAGTGATGGCCAGAGCTCAAGAAAAAACAAAACCAAGAAATTACTAACATTTCAAATAACTTTGGGCTGTGTCTAAAGCTTTAAAAAGAATTTGTGATTAGGTGTTTTCTGCAACACTTAAGTCTTTGGCAATACAGCCATGACTTGAAAAATCTAGGCACCACAAAAGGAAAACCCTTATTGCTACGTTTTATACTCAAAACGCTCATTTCAAAAGGCAACACTCCTCTTACAGAGGAGGAAATACTTCCATTTAGGTTGGGCTTTTGAGTTTCTGAATAGACACAATGAGTTTTCTTTATCTGGAATGAAAATGTGAGCTTTGGTTGGTAAGCATGTATTCTTGGGCTTTGGTCCAGCAGGTTATTGATCGATAGGCAGCTATGCAGATATTTAAGATGTTTTCGCTATGATACAGGTGGGAAAGGCAATGTCATCGAATGAGTCGGCAGCGTACGAGATCATGAGAAGCCTGGATGTGGATTATGTTTTGATTATTTTTGGTGGTGTGATTGGTTACTCTGGTGATGATATTAATAAGTTCTTATGGATGGTGAGAATAGCAGAGGGGGAACATCCCAAAGATATTCGGGTAAGTGGAAACTATGCAGGAAAACTGAGATGTTCTTGGCTGAACACTATTTCTGTATGTTCATCTCCACTGTTGTGGGTTTTGTTTTTCTTTTTAAACTTTTATTTATGCTGTTGCTTTTCTGGTAGTGCTCATTACAGTGGAGGGAAATCTCTACTACTTATTGCAGTTTTATTTGAAAAATGTATTATGGGTTGTTTTCCTAGAACAGTAGGAGTGCAGAGGCCTGTAGCCCAGTTTCTTTCAATATTTATGGTTTTGAAAGGTCAGTAACCTCAAAAGCTATTCACCTTTTTTGCATGATACAAGTACAGGATATCTTTTGTAATTCTTGTGTGTGTGTCTCACCATCATACTTTAAAAAAGGAATGTTCAGACTGTTTAAATGGTTGGCGTTACGTATTTCTTCAAACTCTGTAATAGTAGGAGACAAGTTAAAGTGTTAATATTGACTTACACAGAGTTTAAGTTATTCAAACATCTTGGAGATTGCAGAAGTCTGTAGTAATATTTTCTTAAGCCTAACAAAAACTTCTAGATATTGAGCACAGGCTTAAGGGAGTAGCCCGTGTGCATAGTTTCATCTTGTACTGGAGATGAAAATGGCAGAAATTCTTTGTTTAAACACTGTCAACATATGAAATTTATGGTAACATTGCAGACCTCATATATTAACAATATGGTGCTTTTCACCTTTCTGAAGAATAATTTTGATGCTCAACTAACTTCTACATTTTGAGAGCAGTTTTCCAGTAACTGCCTACTGTGAAGTGACACAACTTGTACCAGTACGATAATAGGGATTTCGGAAGATGAGTCCATTGGGGTCTGGGTTACAAGCAGGTAGTTTGTAACTGTTTTACCTTTAATGAGCACCATTGTTTTCTGTTTTAAGACTAGCTTAAATCAGCTTTTAAAGCCTGTTTAGATTCTTTATGAAATTTTTTTTTTGTGGAGAAGGGAATTAGAAATGACCTTAACTAGCAGTTTGGTTAATATTGACTTTTTGTATCTTCTCTTCTTTTTAAAGGAAAGTGATTACTTTACCCCTCAGGGAGAATTCCGAGTAGACAAGGCAGGTTCTCCAACTTTGCTGAACTGCCTCATGTATAAAATGTCCTATTACAGATTTGGAGAGATGCAGGTTAGTGCTACAACTTCTACTGAATCTTAATTGAAATGTGAGAAAACAAATGTTATTGTGATATATTTTACATCTTTTGGATTGAGCGTTGCTTGTAGTAGCAGAATTGAAGGCAAGAGTTACCTTTACAAATTAAAACATGGTTATACATGGTCTACCACATATAACCCTTAGAAAAGAAAAGCATTTCTGCTGCTAACCTACACTTGTACTTAGCTTTTTTGCTGTCCCTCATGTTGCCTCAAACAAGCATCTTAATGCTTTAGCTACTGCACTGTATCATGGAATTAACTGTTAGGTTGTGGAGAGCTTTAGCTTTTTTTTTTTTTAATAGCAACACAGAAGTGGAACTGTTAATTGACTGTTTAATATCTGTCAGAAACTACCCAATTTCTATCCAAGTCACATCAGTGTATTAAGCAGGGCACTTACATAATAAGGGCATAATTGGCACAGAGAGTTGTCACCCCCCTTTGGGATTGCCAGACAGATGGATGTAGCTAAGTCTGCTTTGTCTGCTTTTTCATTTCCTGTTCTACCCCCCCCCCAGTGCCTTTCATTTGGATGTGTTAGCACAAGAATCCTTTATTCAGCTAAAATTGGTGCCAGCGGATCTTATTTGTAACACAGGGGTCAAATTTAACTGATAAACTGTTTCAGACTTGTACGGAAAACCAGAAAAGTGCAAGTCATTGCACTACAGAAGAGAGAGCGCAAGGGAGTGCCCGTGCTAAAACCCCACCACAGGCTGCTGCACCTCAGACTTTCACTTGAGTAGTTTCATTTCTGAATGCAGACATGCTATTTCTGTTGAGCCATGCAGTGCTGTCTCCTGCAACAGCTGCAGGAATAAGAGTGAATTTGTCTCTTTCAATTGTCAAAATGAACCGAGAGGGGTTTGGTTTTTTTTTAATGTGTAGTAATAATCAGTGCAAAAGAAGCGTTGTCCTTTGGGCCAGTTGAAAGCGTTGCCTCGTCGTGGGCAGTACCACAGTTTACAGTGACGGGTGTTTTGGGTTTTGTCTCAAACTAATATGCAACTTTAATTTTTATAGCTGGATTTTCGGACACCCCCGGGATTTGATCGTACGCGCAATGCTGAGATAGGCAACAAAGACATTAAATTTAAACATCTGGAGGAAGCCTTTACTTCAGAGCACTGGCTTGTTAGAATATACAAGGTGAAACAACTAGACAACAGAGAGACATTGGATCATAAACCTAGAGTAACCAACATTGTACCGAAACAGAAGTATTTGTCAAAGAAGGTGGGTTCCTAGTGAAGGGGTCAGGTGAACTGAAAGGGGTCAGGTAGATGGCAGTTTATTTTTAATGGTGAATCACATAGCTGGTGAATTATGTATTTCCACTAGCCTGAATGTTACGGATACTGTTCATGTTGGTGTCCAATATCAGACCTGCCTGCTGGTAATAATTGTTAACTTACTGTCTGCTTAACTTAAAAGCATGTGAAGACACAAGGCTAGATTTTTAGGTTTTTTTTTAGGCAGAATGCTAACTGGAAATAGAGCGTGTCACTGGCTGTTACAACTCTTAGGTCTTCATGTAACTGGAAGTATAATCTCTAAAGTACATCAGTTCATGTTTCAGTAACTATGGCTCACTAAGTAAATAATGTGGAAGTTGCTTTCTGACTTTGTTTGAAAGTAGTGATGCCTAGAAGTTTAAAAATGGCAATTTTGTATGAAATAAATTAAATATGAAATTTTTGTTGATGGAACTTTAGTGTCTGGCTGCTTACTGCTTGAAGTCATCTTTGTGGTTTTAAAGGTGTTAGCTGTGGTGTGCTACTTCAGCCTATTAAGTGATACCAGAGGAGCTGGGGAGACCCTTAGCAGCCCTCTCCTTCACATCTGTTTTCTATATATTCCAATATATGTTGCAAAAGGAATTCCAGAATCCTATCAATCAGAAGCAAACGCATAACAAACTTACTGTGTACAGGCAATAAACTTACACTGCATCATGGAAATCAAAGTAAAGCACATTAGAGGGTAAAGATGCTTGTTTTTGTGATTTGATGGAAGTTCATAAAATAAGGTATTTGGGAATTGCCACTGAAGCTAGACTTACCTTGAAAGGAAATGACAAGCTTTATTGTGCCTAGCATACACTTACAGTGTAACTTCTGATCTTAAGTGACAAGCAAGGCTGTATTTATTAATGATAGATGCATTGACCCTGCTTAAGCTGTGGATGTGTCAGTTCTCTGGCTAAAGACAGGCTAAACTTGATGCAAATTCTGATTCATCACCAACTCCTGCAGTACAAACAGGCTCTACATCCCATTAAGAAATTGGAGAACCACCAATGTTTAAACTGGGATTTCTTAAATGCATTCTGAGAGCAACTTGGTAGCCACAGGTTTTCAGCAGTTGCTTCCTTACGGGAAATTCAGTCTGTCTCCTGTCACTCTTCCACATTAGGAATGACACTGCACGAGCTCAGAGATATAATATGTCTGAGTATTATGTATTAGTTTGTATCTGTTTCACTTTATAATAATAATATTGTTATTACTAAGAAGAGAAAAGTTATATTTAATTGGCACAATAGAGCATGCCTGCTGGTAAGCACAGCAAAGTGCAAGTGTGGGAGGTGCCTGCTGTCCAGTTTGTTGTGGCAGCCATGTTGAATGTACAACTCTTACCTGCCAGGAGCGTTACAACTGTGTTTATACAACTTTGAAGTTAACATTACCCAAGACTAACATTAATGCTTCCCCCCCCACCATTACTACTTTAAAAAAAAAAAATCTAAACTATACTCATAATATTACCTAAGACTAACATTAATGCTTCCCTCCTGTTACTACCTTAAAAAAAAAAATCTATCTAAAATATGCTGATAAAGACAGATGAGCAGAAAGTGCAAAAACAGGCCTACAGACCAATAGCAGAGGACTAAGGACTAAAATGTGATTATGCTGGTTTTCTCTTACTTTTGAAAAATGCTGCTTTGAGCAAGTATTTTTATCTATCATCTTGCTAACGTCTAAGAGAATCAAATAGTGTGAAAGATGTAAGAAGGTATTTCCAAACAAAGCTAACACTCTACACCACTTCTGCTCTTTGGGCATGTTAGAGCTTTGTCACGTTGGTTAATTGTTAATTCTGCCTCAGCACAAGCTTTGAAAACAATTCTATGGATCTGGTGGATGGGGCTTACAAAAGTACATCTTGTGCAAAAGCAAATGTTGGGCATGAATTAACAATCCCAACTTAAAAATAATAACCGGATAATACCTAGTTGAAGGTTTACTATTTAAGCTCTTTAAAAAAAAATGAGTCCAAAGATCAAGCATTGAAATGCACATCATTAAACCGCGGTCACAACTAAATCATTAACTAATACATTTTATTCTGTTTTTCTTTTTAGACCTCCAAAAGGAAGCGTGGCTACATTAAGAATAAACTAATTTTAAAGAAAGGCAAGAGACCCAACAGGAAGACAGTTTAAATACAGTGTTCCGATTGCTAATACGAAGCAGTTGTCCTTGAGATAACCAGTCTTTGCCTTTAGCTCAAGTCATGTTTCACAGCAACATGAGGGTACAGAACCATCATTGGTCCAGATTATTGTACAAAATTTTCAGGCAATGTCTGATTAAAAATATTGGCTTATTGAGAACAGCTGTTTTAGATTTGTAATGTGAAGCAAGACAGAGCTGCTATATCCAAGTCTAGCAGCATTTTTTTTTTTTATTGGTACATATTATCCTTCAAATCCGTTGAGAATTTGGACTGACTGCACCAAAGAACCCTGTAATTTGGTCCTTGGCACATGCATACTTGTCAATCTTTTTTGGAAAACACTGCCCAGCTGAATAGCAGCAGTATGTAAACTGGAATGGTGAAATCTAAAAATGACTTGTTCTCAACAATTAGGAGGAAGCAGAGCTCTCTGAAGCTAAACTTTCCAAATAAGTTACTCCCGTGATTAATTTTCAACAGTTTCTTTCCATGTCCTTTAACTCTTGCTGCAGGCTGGTTTTGTTCTGGAGTGTAAGAAGCAAAGCTGCAGTTTTCACAAGAGATGACAGGACAGATTAATTGGATGCTCATTTAGATGGGACAAGCTGCTTTTGTTTAACGTGGGATTGCAGTGCGCCATCGGTTCGTAAGGTAGACAAGGCAAATCTTGCACACTGTAGATACAAGGGCTAAATTTGTATCCTGAAAAATCTGAAATGACAGTAATGAATGCTATAGTAACGTAAAACTGAGCATCATGTAGCAGCTGGTGCTTCAGAACAGAAATTAAACTATTTTAGGTAAATGTTTACATTGGTAAAACAAGTATAGCCTGTTTAACAGGGGAAAAAAAAGGTTGACAGGTATACAAACCCCCTTTTCTGTGGCTATTGGAGGGAGAGGATTTGCAAACCTCTTCCTCCCCTCACTGCCTTCTCTTGTGAGGGTAAAAATTTTTCTGGAAATCTGTTTCTCTGCATTTTTATTTAGCGTGCTTAAATCAATTGAAGAAATTCCTGCTATAGTGCTATTTGCTTTGTCTGTCTTTTATACTGTTTTGGTTTTGGGTTTTGTTTTTTTTTTTAAAGAAAAAGTGGTGAAAACTGTCAGATTAAATGCACTAAAATATAAACGGAGACTGAATATGTTCACTTTCCACTATAGGAAAACTTTATACAGACTTGAAATTTTTCTTTAATTAAAATGAAAAGGTTTTGCAGTTTGTTTTCCTGCCACAGGTTGTAACTTTTTATAGAAACAAAACTTGCATCAATAATTTGATGTAAAATGCAGAATAGTATGTACCTTTCATGAAGAAAATGTAAATTTACAGTGTTCTGTGAGAATGTTACTGCTGACTTCTTTCCCAAGGTGTAGAATATTTTTTTGATTTATGAACTCATTTTTGACGCCAATGGTTTATACAGACCAATATTAGAGCTGCAACATTTTCACAAAGGTAATTAAATCTGGATTTCTGGCCCCCTGTCGTTTGGAGATTTCATTTTATTTTGTTGCTTTAAAGCTCAATGCAGACCAGTTGTTGACTGTAGGGGAAAATAAAGTTAATTCAAGTTTTGTGTTAAGGGTGGTGTGTCAGTTTTGTTGTGATTAACTTGGTAACATGTTGCTTACAGTCCTAGTGATAAATTCGGTCATTCAAACTCCGTAATGCAAATCTGCTGACCTCATGAAGTTGCTGTAATGAAGCCACAGCAGGTACTTCACATCCTTCCAGCTTAAATTTATGAGGCCAAACATAGGGCCTCTGCTGTGATGTAATATTTTCAGAGAACAGCAGCCACCTTTCCCAAACACACAACTTGCAGTGAATCCTTCTAGCAGCTGGAGCAGCCCCAGCTGTTAACAATTGCTTACACACAAGCAGAAGGGGCAATTACATGATGCATGAGTTGTAGTATCTCGGTTCTTCCAAGCAAATCTGCATCCTGTCCCCTCCCTGTTCGTAAGAAAGAAGCAATCTAACATTTGGAAGATCAGCTAAAAGGCAGTAGAACAGATGCTGCTGGTCAGGCTGGGGTTTGGCAGTAACTCAGCCCTGGTTTAAAATAAAAAAAAAAGGAAACAAAAGGCTGCCCTCCCATCTTTACAGTTCTGTCACAGCATTCTCTTTAAAAGAGCAGATAGAAGCAAATCCTGTCATCTTTTATAGCTTTAAAAATGCTATGTAAAAGAAAAATAAGCTAACTACGGGAATCTTAGTCAGCCTGGGCCTGAAGTTGCCTACCACTTGCCTGACTAACTTGACTTCAAGGCTTCTGCCCATGTTCTGCATTTAAATGAAATGAAAAGCTGGAGTCATTAAGGCAGCTGCTTAGAAAAAAAACAAAGCTACAAAAAAGTAGTGGCAGGCACTGTATCACCTCACATAGGTTACCTGCTTCTCCACCTGCAGCCAAGAGTTACTCAGCTAAACTAACTTCCACCTGTTCTCTCAGAGAACTGAACCACACTGTACCAGTAAAGAATACTGTCATCTTCTATCATTATCAAACATACCTTCTACGCTAGGACAAATTTTGAAGCATAACTGCCACAAAACAGTAAAATCTGAAAGGAAAAAAAATGCTCAAGCCAAGCTCTGGTCTTCAGTTGCTAAGGAACTAAAACTGCAAGTGGCTAGAAGCCAGTGTTGCATCAGTTCTGTATCACTTAATCGTTACTGGCAAGGGCAGACAGTACTATTCGTAATCCCAGAAGAAATATTTTGACTTGTGGAAGTAATTCTGTAACAGGGGTGGGGTGGGGGAAGTCATTAGTTAAATGAGTCAATAGATTTACTCTGAAAAAACAGTTAAATGCTTCCACTCAGCCCTCTGTACCTATCAATCCCACTGAGTAAAAACTGAAAACAAATCCTACTTAGCAATGACTAAAAGTGTCGATGATGCCTTCAACCCAAATGTATAAACTGCTCCGAGACGTGGCCTTGACACAATGAGACAGAAGGCAAGGCCACACCTGGGTAGTGTTCCCTGTCCCGTTTACAGCCAGTGGTGTTTCCTGGTTTGCATAACACCAGTTCTGGCACGATGGTTTCCAACGCTGTGGATGGATGTTTGAAATAACCAGAACTGCATTATCTAACACTTGAAAAATGCAGACCAGGATCAACGAAGTCTCTCATAAGCACATTTTTCCTGCCCATGGAAGTGTCCAATGCTGCAATAATTCAGAGTTGTATTTCAAGAGGTATCTAATCAAGAATCTCTGTTAATGACAAAGTTTAAATGAAATAGGATCTTCAGAAACAAGGGAACATCTTGACCAATTTCCTTTCTATTTCTCAAAGTAAGGCGTATGTTTGTTGCCCAGCCCTGTTTTCCCTGTGTCATGCTGTCCGATTTAAACAAAAACTTACCTACGCAGTGCCTGGCAGTGCTAACGGGGCAGAAAAACCCCACAACAAACCAGGATTCAGGTGACAAGTCACTTCTATCAGAACCATGCAAACAGCCCACGGGCGTCTTGTTGGAGGCTGCTCCTGGATGTCTGAGTAACTGGTACCAGATAACTTGGGCTTCAGTGGAAAGAGAAAGGGCATTCCACTACTAAATGAAACAAATCTTTTATTCATGAGCATTGTCAGTTTAAATTCACAAATTATGAAAGGAAGGCAAATCAGAAGAGACTGTCAGAGCGTCTTTTAAATGAGAAAGGTATAAATTTTCTTGGAACATCTCTAATTTAAGAAAAGAAAAAGGTTGCATAGGCTTTCTACAGGTGTGCACAAAGAAACTGAAGTACGTGGAGGTTTTTACATTACAATTCAGAGTGTACATTGGCTACTTGAAAAGGAAAATATTTAGTTGCAAGTCCAAGACAGCTACTGGAACGACCTACGGAATAAGGCTTATGAATATTTACTTTTCAGTCCTGTAAAATATATATATAACATGTAACTATCAGAAAAATAAAATGACACTTGAGAATCTTGTTCTGGAATCTCTCGCTGATGGGATCTTTTCAGAAAGGACTAAGTTTACGTTTGCCTCTCCCAAGTTACTTTGGAAAAGAAACAGCGGTAATGGCATCGGGATTCTTCACAGCATCAGAACAAAACAAAACATTTATCAGAGCACAAGTGGAATGTTCTCGGCATGCAGAAACAACCAACCATGCAGACAGAAAAAATCTTCAATAAATTACAAGCATAAAATTATTCAAATTTCTCCTTAAAACAACAGCTACAGCGTCTTTGTAGCCTCGACAGTCAAACCATCAAAGCTGAAAGAGGTCTACTCTTTCAGGAGCGCAGGGCTGACAGAGAGAGGTTTTCAATGGCTCTTTTTAGTGAGTGTGTGGCTCGTTCTTTGGTGTGTGAAAGTCAAAGTTCTGGGAGGATGTTCCATGTGTTTAATTCTGTGTTTTCGATTGTGATGATATTGCAAACTATATGAATGCTCCTAGTTACTTATCAGACTAACCTCTGGAACGAGAGTGGCCGCATCATAAAGTTAATTCTTGCAGGTGATAAAGTACACGTTTTCCTGATAATACTTGGTAGTAGCTCAGTGATTACTATGGCAGCATTGTTTTGGTTTTGTTACAGAAAAACATCGACTACTTCTAAAAATAAGATCTTTTTTTCTTTAAAAAAAAAAGTGTCAGTTAGTTACAAACCCAAGGTCATACAGTCCACATTTTTTTTAAAAATAGGATTTAAACCATTTATAACACAAATCTTTCTAACGTGCAAAAAAAAAGGACATACAAGCAAAGTAGCATTTAAGAGGAAAAAGGAGCCACACCTTCATTAAACAGGGATCTGAAGTTCAAATGTAAAGATCTATTAAATGTTGTGTCCGGATGGACATCTAATGGTATGTTTCCTTGCGTACACACCTCCATTCAGCCTTTTGAGTTGGTCAAGAGATTTTAACATCTACCTAAAAAAAAAAAAAAAATCAGAAAATGCAGGGCGCACAAGAACAGATACAAGCAGTGCCTTGACCTAAATATATTTGTGTAATATCTATAAAGCGTAAATTACTGTATTAAGAAAGCAGACACAAGGCACAAAATTACTCGGTACTACAGAAAGGTAGGCTTCCATGCTACTGAATGTTAGAAATATAGTGGTTTCTTTACGGGGCACGGTAGGCAGAAGCAGAGCAGAAGTCAGCACGTTTTGCATTTGCCCTTTGTTGCCACTTCACTCAAACACATCTTCACTTTCAACAAATGGGAACTAAAAGGCAACAGAGCCTGAACACGCTTCTAGAATCTACTTTCTCAGTGTCACAGTGGTTACCTTACAAAGCAAGATCAAGCTAGGGATTGTTTGCTTACTTTTTTTTTAACTTTACAGAACAAATTGTATCCCATTTTGTTTCATTAATAAATTTATTGTGTCATTGTAATAATTTACTAAATTGTTATACTGGAAAATCATTCATCTGAGAAAGCTAGTTATATCATCTCTATTCATCCACGCATTTCATCCAGAAGCAATCGACTGGCTCAAAAGCAAATCAAAGCACAGGTCTGCTAGGAGCCTCAACGTGGAATTAAGGGCTCTGACCAGACGAGCTCGGTCTGATTTCCCAGAGCCGCGCACGGAAGCCGCCTCTGGACTGGAGGGGAGGGCTCACACCCAGCGCAGGAGGACAGGACACCTACCCAGCCTCGCCCGCTGCAGCATGCAGCCTGGCATTTTAGCCTGAACGCATCAGCAGCGGCTTAACTTAAACGGCACGGCGGCGAAGGGAGGTGCCTCAGCGCAGCCCAACGGCGCACTATGCCTCTCTTACACGGGGTGGAAAGCTGAGGCAAGAGCGAGCCGCGACACCGCAGCTACAGCTGCCAGAAGGGAGTTAGGGGAACACGTAACCCAAAAGCATCGGCGTGACAGTAGCCAGAGAACATTACACAGCAAGATCCAAATTACCAGGGCGCTGGCTCACTGGCGACCGCAGATCTATTAAACAGCCGGCGGTATGACCAAACAAAAAAAGCGAGGACACAACGGGTTAGTGCGAACAATGTTCTTGAGAAGGTATTGCTGCTTCTTATAAGATGGCAGAAAATTCACACTCGTGACAGGAAACATGCTCTTAAACCAGCATCCCGACGAGCGAGTGCGCTGTCAGTGTATCATTCTTATGTCAAAGTGAGTTTTCTCAATGACTGTTTAGACAGAACGACTGCCATTAAGTGACACGTCACATTTTAAGTGCAAAACATTTTTTGGCAAAAGTGAAAAATAGAAAAACCTTAACCGGTACTAATAAAAAAGTATTTTCTGAAATACTAGCATAGGGCCTGAGCCTGCAAGCACACGACTCGGGGAACCCCAGCTGAGTCCCGCCAGAGTTCTATGCCCTAACTCTTAGAGGAAAAGGTCTTTAAATCACTGTTAGTGTTTATACGTGTTTACATGTAGTGTAAATAATACACACACAGACACATACACACTGCGTGAATATATGTGTGCATATGTGGACGCGTGCGTGTGTGTTTGTGTGTCTGTACACACAAAATGGCTCCTGAATCAAACTTGAGCTTGTGGTTATTTTGAGATGCATCATTCACAGTATATAACTTCTCCTTTGCTTCTTCTGATAACAGGACCTATTCGATGACATCTTGAAGTTATATACTGTATCATTTTAATGCCTTTAAGGTAAAGTTGTGAGGCAATCGCTCTATCCCGTCAATGGGTCTTCCAGAGAGGATTCAAGTATAGCCAGCCATCGCCCTGCAAGATAATTAGGGAGAGATTTATACACGCCAGATCTGTGGATGTCCACATAAAAGCTAAAATAATACCAGTCGACACAATAAACCATGCCTGTCGGCTGAATATTCTGCACTTAATGAATTTACAGGTAATCTGGGAAAAATTACAAGGGGGAAGAGAAGTAATGGGAAGACAAACAGATGAGCTGCTGGTTTAAATGGCTGCACGTACTGGCTAATTTAACAATACGGTCACATAATAATTCCCTCGGTCAGTCTTATTTCCCTTCCCTCCTTCCTCAAAGAAAAAGCACAGACTAACTTAGGAAAATCTGTTTCATTTCAAGCAGATGAAACCCAAGACTGTGGTTAAGATGTCCATGCTTACTTAATTGGACAAATATCCCTAGATCATGTTCCCTTTAGAGATCCAGATCAGTAGGGGATGTGAGTACACAGCATTTGCAAATTAAGGTGTGGATTTTAAGGTAAAAAACATAGCTTTAGGTGCCTAACATTAGGTACCCAAAATTCAGGTTACAGTTCATCTAACTGAAAGAAAGTGAACAAGTTTACGATATGGTCAGGGAACAAACCATTGCTGCTCTTGAAGAGCCGAACTCTGGCAAAAATTAAATTTAAAAAAGCATTGTTATCTAACACCACTAGCCCTGGTGAAACCACAGACAAGCATCCCCCTGTTTGCAGGAAGATGCGATCAGGTCTCGAATGAACATACCTCTTTGGCAAAGTATTTTGGTTTCCACGGCGTTGTAAGAGCCACACGTTGCCTCTCCTCTGCTCGCTGTCTCTCTTCAAGGCGGTGCTTGTGTTCCGTTGCTGCATCGATGTTACCTTCTTTCAGAGAATTGGTGACGTGTTGCCAAAGGTGCCTGCATGACGGAGAAGGAGCACAAGCAACAGAGTGAGAACGCGTCGGCCCCGGCCGAGCGCCCAGCTGGGCAGCGGTACGGCGAGAGGCAGGCCCAGGCCATGTTCCCCGTGCCACTTTTGCAAGTCGCAGAGCTTGTGAACCATCGCTTTACTGGGATGGGGACTCATCGCATTCGTGGACCACATTTTCAGATTTGCTCAACTCCCCGTATTCTGCCATGCAAGTTCATTTTCTTAATAGCTTTTGTTCATGTTCCTGACTCTTCACCACCTGAGCTTTTTTCTCGAAGCAGACGGATTTTTTCCAATCATTTCCCATTCACATTCTTTATTGGTGATCCACCCTCAAATGACCTGTGTTTATTCTGTGTTTATTCACGGTTAGATTTTTGAATTATAACGGAAAGTTAAGCAAAAACCAAGAGTTCATTAAATCGGGACACTGACTGCTCCCACCAGGTTACTAATGAAGGAGTTGGCACACCAATTCTAGGGAGCCCTTCTAGGTCTGTGCTCTATGTTCCCAGTTACCAATAATTATCGGTACATAACCAAATTTGTTTTTCACATGACTGAGCACTCAGACCCAATGTCTTCTCACACTATATTAGCCTAGCAGAAACTCCACCCAGGAAAATACTGAGAAGAAACGGACTGCAGCTTTCACATTTCCAGGGGTGTTTAAATGAGTTTCTGTTTACAGTCTGATAAACTGCATATCCTGCAGAAACCTTGGATACTTGTAATTTGCTTACTGGTAACCAAAAAATACAACAAACAGACTGCAAAGCTACTGGTTTCCTTATTTACTTCAACCTTTCTGTACCTAAACTACAGGGAAAACCGAGTTTGTGAGCATGTCTAAAAACTAAGAAAATGTCATCTAACCCTGCACAACGACTCAAGACACACCTTTGTACAATAAAGAAAACATATTTGCAGATAATAAAATGATGCTTAACTCATGTTTTTACATCCTCCGATAAAATGTTCCTAAATTCAATAAAAATATTGATTTGGTTTTTTGTGAAGATAAGCATCAATGGTTACTGACAGTGAATAACAAGGTTTTTTTCTAATGTAGCTAGAGTTAGGGGTGTGATGTGGGTTCCGAGAGCCTTAAAACCACATATGTGTGTATTTATATCTCACATTGCATCACATTTTACATATTTATGTATACACAAGAAATAAAATATATAAACCATGAAATTCCACTGTAATTGTAAGATGCAACATTACTTGCAACAACCTAATTTGACTACCAACAACCTAATTTGACTCAAAAAAGTAGGTGAAAACACTGCATTACCATTTTCCAATTGCTCGTTAACATGCATACAAGCATTTTTCCCCTCTACAAAATTGACATCTATGTCACTAGAATGTAATTTCGGTACCAGAGACCCCATACACAGCTTCAGCTATTTGTGCCTAGATTCATGTGCAGTAGGAGGCGAGGCTTTTTTGAACCACACCATTTATAACTGCAGTTTGCTTCCCCATTCTGTTCCCATCTGAGTTTCAGAAGCAGAAGACTGTAAAGCCTCTGCCCTTACCTGGATTCCAGTGGGCCTTGTTTTGCTATCGGCCTAATCTTTTTCCTGATAACAGGCAGTTTGCTAGTGTCAATCACTTTGGTTTCTCCGTTGCTGTAAGTAAATTCCAGCGTACCATTCCATTCTCCCTGTGCCTTGCATACGATGGTGTTAGTGGGATTGTGTTTCACTTCAGCTGTAACCCTAATTCAAGCGGAAGAAAAAAAAAGACCACAGAAGTAACTGGTACCATTTATTACCAGCATATAAAACCACTACCACAGCTAAGCCTACAAGCAGCTTTCTACATCTACAAAGTAATTTTTCCAGCAAAGTAGCGATGCTGTCTCCAGAAAGACAGACTCAACCCAAGAAAGCTCAGCTAACACAGCAATAGCTTTTGGACGGCATTCTCCCAACGCACAGCAGTAACCCAGTTTAAAACTGGGATGCTCAGCTTTTTCCCAGAGCTGTTCACCTCATCGGCCTGAAAAACAACCCCTGATGTTCATGTGCCATTTTCAGTACACCTTATTTTCACGCCTGAACATAACGCTGTCAGATACCTATGTCAAAGACTTCAGGTACCTTTCTTTTCTTCTTTAGCAGTCGACAAGTTTACTTCCCTGCTGCTGAGAGGCAATGATGAAAGCTACCTCAGTTGTCCAAGAACTGGTCTGAGAGTGAGCAAAATAGGTAGGACTGGAAAACCAAAATGCAGGGAGAAGCTTCGAGAGTGTGTGTGTCTACAATAGTGCACACATGTGCTTTAGCAAGCCATGTCAAGTAATCTGTCAACTCAATTAAGTTTTTAAATTATTCATACAGCACAACCTTCCCCAATTTTCTCTCACCCTGATGGCACCAATTATGAATCTGCCCCTTTTAGAAAAACCCCTATCAAAACAGCCCATGTTGATATTTGCCTGAGCGCAATATTGAAATGACTGACTTGCGTATGGAAGAATAATTAGACCAACTGAAACAAAAGAGAGGTAACTATGCAAAAGCACACCAAACCAACAGGCAACACTGCCTTCTCATGGACACTGCTACAGTCCAGAGCAGGACAAGAAAGGGGTCTGTGTGTGTTAACGACCAGGTCATCAGCTTGGGCACAGAAGTAAGGCAGGAAGCTGTCTTGCAGAGTACCTCTTCGCACCTTTAATAAAGGGGAACCAAAGACACATAAATAATATTTTCATCATCTGGAATTTCAGTGCAGAAATGGGAGTCCTCGGTAGGGAGCTACTGCTCTGGGCAGCGACACTTTCGTTTCTCTCCTCTTTACAGGAGCTCCAGCCGGAACACCACTTCATCTGCTAAACTCTCACAGCAGCAGCAGCTGGTGTAGCAGAAACATTGCCTCTTCCATGTACATTTTTCTGATCCTGCACTTACTGCCATTTTACAAGCAACAAAGCCTGGAAGAATACATTCATTTTAGTTTAATGAGAGAAATATATCCAATTCAGTTAAACAATATAAAATATATAACTAGAATAAACTGCGCTCTGAAGTTGTAAGTCATCTCAGACACTAATAGGAAAAGAAATTCAGATATCTGTCTACAAAATACTCCAACAGAAGAACCAACCAGATGCCCAAGAGTCTTTCCTTTGAAAGCCAGCAGCAGGCAAACAAGAGTAAAAGACAGTAATTCCCGTACCTGTGGACCTTGCCTCCATAGAAAGGCTTGGTGTGGAACGTGACCGTAGCAGAATAGCCTGTTCTGGCACAATTGATGTTGACTTTCCCTCCAAGCTCCACCCATGGGATGGTAAGTATTGAGCGAGCATAGGCACTAGGCAGGGTGAAAACATACTCTTCTTCGTGTTCCATCAAGTAAAGAACACCTATGGAGGAAGAAGGTTGAAAGTGAAATGATAAAAAGTTAACTGATAAGACCTGACAGCCATTGACCATCACCAAAACGTACTTCCACAGAGAGCACAACGTGCTACTCGCCTTGAAGGAGGGTACTGTCTGCTAAGGAAAAAAGTCTGCCCTCAGGAACAAATTTCTTCAAACAAACATTTCAGAAGCACACAATTTGAATGTGTACCCTGGGGTCCTTCATGGTGCCAAATGGCTTATCAGAAAATCTGACTGGATTACTTATTTTGTGTTATTGACAAGCAATAAACTGTTAAAGCTGGAAAAAAATAACATTTGCTTGCAAAAAGCCATATTGAATATTCAGATGCTCCCTCGGTGTCATATCGTAATGTCTCTCCAGAAAAAAATATGGGCATGGCCAAAGGACTCCATTCAATCAGATATGACCAGGTCCTCTCTGCTAAATTCTTACTGATGCATTTGTTGGTGCGAGCAAAAGGCTCTCTTTAGGTCTGTCTGGATGCAACTAGGAAACATGCTTAAGGAAGCCATCTAGAAATTTCCTAGAAGTTTGCTCCTTCAATTCCAAGCATTTCCCATGCAGCCTTTGCAAGTCTCATATAATCAACAGGGGGGGTGCCAGGGCCACTGCTCTGCTGCCATCAAGACCAATGTCTCTACCATGCAGAGAAAATTACTGGCAACTCTATTTCATTCTGAAAAGGTTCTTCCACCCTCAGCATTATGGGGTTGTAACCAAAACCCACAACATGCAGCACCAGTAGTTTTTCAAGATTATTTGGAACTACAAAGAAAGTTACATGTCACATCAGACCTCAGCTTCCTCTGGAGTTAAGGATACAGCTCTATCCCCACCAGAGCTGTAGTTTGGTCTGCAGGATGACAAAGAACAGGACATAAGACCAGGTAAAGAGTACCTTAAACCTTGCACACAGAATTGGATCACACCAAATATCTGTAGTATATTTTTCATTAGAGTTTTACACTCTTTTGTGTCTCGTTTAGTAACTGCCCAAAGGCAAAAATTACAACATTGAATATAATTCTTCACAACAGGGATTGAAAATAACCTATAACAGGAAGCACTCAGAACCCAGAAATGTTTGGAAAAAAAAAAAAATCAGGAAAATTATCTTGACGTAGTAACAGTATCTGTTTAGAAACAAGATGAGCTTGAGCCAATCTGCCTTCACCCTGGGGCAGACAGAGGAAGAACACATTGGTAGGGGAATTGATTAGTTTGTCTATCTGTTTAAAGGAATAACGATACTAATTTTACAAAGTGATCTGACACGTAATGATGAAAAAGCACTAAGAGAACGAGGCACTACTACTGTCAACATAAAAATATGCCTTTAACGCTGTATGAAAGCATTAACCTAAATAACATTCAGAATTTAAAAGCACAGAGCTCTAACAGAATAATCATCTTAAATATTGGCGCCAATTAATAGAAATAAACGCAGGCACAGAAAGCTCCGCAACTTGTCACTTCTGCCTTCTGTTCCACAGGAAAACATCTTTTGCAAACTGGAATAGCTTTCTGCAGTTGTCCTTGAGACTTCTGCAACCTCAGCCTGCCAGCAACGACAGAGCCAGCACTTCTACCCCAGCAAGTTTGACACAAATGAGCTGGAGAGTGCAAAAGCACAAGCACAGAAAAGCAATGTCTTAAAAGGACCTTTAATCATTTTGCCTCAGCAAGTCACAAGTTCCTCGTGTCATGTGCTGAACCCTGCTGGAGACAGCAGGGACACAGCTGGAACACACACACATTTTGTCTCAAGCTTCCTCAGCTACCTACCTGCAGGTAAAACCAGGCTGAACACATTGCAGGAAGGCTCAACCACCCAACTCACCCAGGACACAGCCAAGACCTTTAACTCAAAAAGACAACTCTGCTGATTAAACTCATTAAATGGATGCTATAATAACATTAAATTAATAAAGAACAATCAAGAAGCCTTTTAACTAGATGATGACATTCAAAAAGGATCACAGAAAGCTAATGGGTACTGATCAAACGCAGGAAGGAAACCTGACAATCTGCAGTTGGGCATTTTCTGCATTGAGAACTACAACAGGTTTTAGACCCAAGTCTGTCAGCTTTCCTTTCTCCTCCTCTTCCCATTTATTCTCCACCTTCTTCACTACAGTCACAGGTAACAGCCATGTAGCAGCAAACAGCTGCAGGAAACCGCCTGTGGTACTACCCAGGAGGTCACATTTCCCCAGTCATAATGGTCTAAGCACAGATACAATCCTCACGCAATCAAAAAGCACAGTCTGCCTGGAAGCATCAGCTTTCAACATTACAGTTTTGGGCATTTTGTTGTTGTGAGGTTTTGAGGGGTTTTGTTTGTGGGGGGTTTTTTTTTGGTTTTGGTTTTTTTTTAAAGACAAAAGGTCTATTTTGAGTATGGTGGACAGGTGTGGTGCTCACTACTGAGGGAGAACCTCACTCTATCTATTAGCCACACCTTCACGTGAGCTTCTTCAGAACCTCCTACTTCCCTAGGTCTGGCCATCCTCCTCTGACGGTCACTGCATGTCCCCACGTGAGAGGAAACTGCTGTGATAAAGACCATTTCCTTCTGAGTTAGTGTAGGTTTGCTTTTGTCTCTGTGATGGGATCGATAGCTTGTTTCCTCCATACTGGAGTGGGAAGGACCCGGAGCTCTAATGGACGCTGCCAAGCACACTGAAATGTGAACAGCAAATAACAGCAGTGACCTTCAATATAAATATTTAACCATCACAGCAGGTTAGATATTAAAAACTGAACCCAGCTCTCTTGGCAGTATTTTTAGCACTTGGTAGCATATTTTTTTAATTCCTTAAACACCTGAATAAATACATTTTTAATGAAGTGCTATCTCACTTGAAATATGACTCCAGCTCAACAATTATAATGTAAAAAAGAATAAAGAGCATGATTTAAAATATGCACAATCTTGAGAAATTAAAGGCAGAAAAACTAAAAGCTAACAGTTATTTTTAAAAGCAGTGTGCACTCTTAATATCCACTTAGAAGTATCATTACATTGTGACTGATCTTTACAATACCTGCTGGAAAATACACAGGCTATTTTTCTTCCCTTGCTCCCCAACTGTAAGGGATTATTCCTTTTTAGTTTAAAAGGAACTAAATTCCTTTACTGCTGTAAGGAAGTATACTATATACTATACTTATGTAGTATACTTATAGTATGTACTATACTTATAGTAGAATACTTATATAGTATATACTTAAGTATACTTATAAATATACTTATTCTTTCGGAAACTGCAGATTCCTTTAACAAAAAAAATCTTAAGTATTTATAGGCAGCTATTACACATGGAAGAACGCACCGGGTAAGTACTCTGGGGAGAATAGTAGATTTAGTAGTCTATCTTAGAAAATAATCCCTTAGAGAAGGGTGATTTTTTTTTTTTAATAAACAAGTGTGGAATTTTGACATTCCCCCTTGAAATGTCCTCAACGCAATTCACTCCTGCTTTTGACTAAAACAATGTATTCACAGTCATGCTCCTTTCCATGACTTCTCAGCCTGCATTAAAGGAAGTGATGTTCGTGGCATATAATTTTCCCTGTTTGACTATTACACGTCCCTCACTGACGCTGCAGCTTTGTGAATTGATTTTCCAGTAACCCATATTGACGAAATACCCAGAGGAGGCTCTGGATCAATAAGGTGCAGAAGAGGCATATGAAATTTAATGCTTCCCACTGATTGTATGGAGATCAATCTGAACAACAAATGGTACGTGGGACACAAACTGCCTAGGGCAATTTCCTAATTTAACAGGCTCTTCATACTGTCTGCGTTATTCGTAAACAAACAAGAGTAAGTTACATACGGGATGAACCCCACACGGGTGTAGCGCATCACCAGCCGCACAGATTCACGCAGGAAAACATGAAATGCCAGAACCTGGCTTTTATCTTCTCAAACATTCCAACGAGCTGGGCTGCACTGCTCATTTTCCAAAGACTGGAACCATTTGCTAAATTAAGTAATGAGTGCCATGCCATATGGAAACTGTCTTGAAACCACTGGGCTAAAAAATATTAATACAAAAATTAGTACTAGGGAAATATTTAGGTAGCTCCAGTTGCAAGGAGCAGTCAGTCTTTGGGACTGGTAAATTAAAAAGTCACTTATGCCTCAGGAATAGAAATTACAGACCTGTACATCTATAAACACATACATATATTTGAACAGAAAAAAAAAAAAACAACCAAGAGAAAAAGCATTCATTGCTTTCATTTAGATTTATGCTGGAAAGAGCACTGAACCTTTTCCCTAGCTATCAAATCTTTTCAAGGTTGATTTCAATTTAAAAAAATAATTTTTGCAAGCCTATATCTGACTAGTTTTTAAACCATTTAGAATAGCAGGAGTGAAAACACAAGACATAACTAGCCACTCGATAATACAGAGCAATCCACTTAAACCGACTTCATACTCTGCAAAATTAACCTGTGAATCAAAGGTGATACTTTTTGTTGGATTTTGCTGCTTTGGAACAAAACCGAAGAGCAGAAAAAGAACACGCATAGCCCACACTGAAGCGTGCTCACCACAGCCATTTCCACTAAAGCATCCTTATCCTACGACCAGTATCTGTTTGAAGATTCTTTGGACCACGTAAAAAACATTAAATATTTACATTGACTCTCCCACTACTTGCTAATTTAAATCTTAATGTGATCCTATTCATTACACCCTCTTCTCCTCCCTCGCTCTCTCATTAGTACATAATTAACATTAACCAGAATTGGGGACTGCACACCCAACATGAATTCTTTTATGCAAAATACCCTCTCTTCTATTCAGGGTAGCTTTCTCAGGAGGAAAGTCAACACTAACTACTCTGAAGAATGGAGTTTTGTTATATAGCAAAGAAAAAGGTGAGACATTTCATTAGCAAACCAGATTTAGACCTCTCATAACCACAGATGAAGGGCTGGCATATGAAACAGCTTCTCACACAGATTTCCAGCAGTGCCTTCCTACTCAATCTGCATCTCTGCAACTGATACTTACTTTGAATCAACAAACAAAAATCACAGATAGGGAAAAAAAAAAAAAGTCTTAGTCATTCTGAGGTGCAACATACACTAAAAAATGTACAATTAAGATATTGAGCTCTACCTTTTCACCATGCAGTCCTCAAATCCCCTAATTCTTTAAATTCTTACAGAAGCCTTTGGGCTTCCAGGACATCCTACTTCAGCATGTCCACTGCTGCTTCTAACAGCAAAGCATAAGAACAAACACGCTCTATACATTGAAGGACATTGTGACAAGTTAAAAAAAAATACACTTCAAAAGCGCCACAGAAACACTGCCAGCATATTCCTTATACAACATAACTCCAAAAATTCAGTAGTACTTCATTGCTGTAAATAACCAACTATAATAAAAAAAGCTTCACGGAACTGTTTGAAGGCCACACACAAAAGTATCCAGTAGAAAGCAAAATTTCAAAACAAATCACAGTTGTTTGTATTCAACACTAAGGTCACAACTAATTTACATGTCAAACAAGGCTGTCCTGATAAATATCTGAACTAGAACCAGATGGTCACTCCCTGCCACTGAATGATTCAACATTAATTACAGCTCTCTAATGCTCTGTTGGGAAGGAATTTTTTTTTCCTACATACATCAAATAGTACTGAATGAATGCACAGTATAACAGAATTACTATAGCAACGCCAGAATGATTTAAATGAAGTCTCAGAATGGACACAGCTATAGTAGAGACATCAAAGAAACTGCCTTTCAAGTAGCATTATGCAGAGTCTAAAACGCTTACTGGTCTAACAAAAAGTCAAAGGCACCCACATGTATGTAAGTAAACTCCAGCAACAGCCAAAAAAGGGCTGAATGCTCATAATGGAGAGGGGGAAAAAAAAAAGAAAAAAAGAAAAAAAAAGAGGAAGGGACAGGACAAAAAAAATCAACAATAACATATGATTAGTTTGGTCATCTGATGCACAGTAGCAAAAAAAGAAACAAACAAACCCCAGGGATTTCTATGATTCATGAGATGTCACTTTGTGACATCATTCCAGAGAAACTCACTTAATCTGGTTTTAACAGTTTCAAATAAGATTCTAGAACCTCACTAGCCAACCTTGTTGTCAGAAAACTCCTCCTAGTAGCTAACTTCAGTTTCTACCTATGTTAACTACTTCATATACCTTCTGACTAACAGTGTCTTTCCTCAATTTACGCTTCGCTAGATTAACTCACCCCATTTGAAATGCTGCAATGCATAAAATGTCCTTGAATACAAAGAAAATACTCCAAATTATATTTCACCTTAAAACATTATTAGGCTTTGCATTACCAGACATGTAAATACAGACATAGCTTTTCCACATTCTAAGTCCAGCGGCTACTTCTTCTTGGTTCAGCAATCTATTCCTCAGTACTCATGCTGACCTCAGTCTAATACAAAATTTATACTTATGCAGCACATGAGAAAGAAACATCTGCAGTAGATTCTAATTTTTGTACAGCTTGACAAATGTACATACCAACTTAATTAGGAAGACTTCCCTGGTACTAAAATAAATGAAAAACAATCTGAAGAAAGTGTCATTTTGAGTGAAGAAATCACACTGTGAAGCAAACATTTTAAACCGAGGCTGTCAGGGTCAGACTGGCTGTTTTCAGATGACAGAAAAGCTTCAGTGGTTCAACTTCTTGCTGCTTATTGCCAGTCCTCAATATGCAACAGAAATGCCTGCGCTGCACTGGAGTTTCTCCATCATTTCCCAGAAATACTGACCCCATGAAGCTGCATGCTTCTGCACTGCTCACATGAACAAAAAAGACAAATGATAACCATGAACTGGTAAAGCCAAACTTCCTCCCCAAATGCCCAAAGACAGCAGCAAACCTTGCAATAAAAGGCTTCACCATTCCAGATGTTCCCCAAAGCCTACCTCCACTCATGGGATATCTCCAGGATCATGGAGAGAGAAAAAAAAAAAAAGAAAAGGAAAAAGGGGAAAAAAAAAAAAAAGGAAAAGAAAAAAAAAAGAAAAAAAAAGAGGGGAGTGGGTCGGGGAGAACTTATTCTCACAAGCCCACATTAAACAATCCTTGGGGTAGGGAAGTTCCTAGACCCTTTCTCTCTCAAAACTGGGACACATCAGGACTTTGAAGTCTTAAATAATCCCCACACTAGACACCCCCAATCCCAGGGAACTGTGTGCGCTAGCAGCAAGAAATTTCCCTACTCCTACATAATCATAAGTGACTTTGTGTTTAATTTTATTTCCATTAAATAGCTCCCCTTCACTGAAAGAACAGTACTAGAAACAAGTATGTACCAGAAAAATGCAGCAACTGAAACCACTGACTCAGGCTGGCAGTAGTACAGTCAGGAGACAGACAGAAGGACCCATCTCCCTTCTGAGCCTCCCTTCCCAACTTCCTTACATCCGCATTAAAAGCAAAATACCGAAATCGTAGCAAGAAGGAAACAGCCGTGCAGTTATAGACTTTAACTATCGTAGCAATATGAAATCCCACAGTAAGGAAGTTTCATCGCTCTTCTACAAAAAAGGGACTATATTGCCATCAGGAAAGAAGCTACTGTTTGAGTTTGTCCTTTAGTTCTAGCTAGTAGAAACAACAGAACATATCTGTATGTTTTCACCATAATTGTTTTGTTGTTATTACTAAGCAAAACCAAATCACTACATTTCCCACTCTACTTTTTTTACTGCCTTTAATATCATAGTGTTTAACATAATAATGACAAAAAGCAGCATTTACTGTAAGTCGTCCTGGTGCTTCTGAGACCACAGTCTAAAACCTAGTTAAGACAAAACACTAAAAACCATACACAGGAAATTACCCTCAAATGGCAAGAGGGACTGACTAAATTGCTTAGAAACATTAAATCAGTACATTAGCAGTCAGTAACGATACTGGTACAGGTGTGTTTATCAGTTCAGATCATCCATTAAGAATTTGTTATGATTCCCTGTATTTCTGAATTCATGTTGAGCAATGACTTATAACAAAGCAGACCGTGTATGTATGACATAGCCAATCACAATTTATACCTGGACTACGTGACTCGCTATAAAGCTGAGATAATACGCCAACTTTGTAAACACTACAGAAACCATGATTCTTTGTAGAAACTATGAAAAAAAAATGTTGCGTTTAAATAAAAATGTGGTTTTTCCTACTGCTTCACTCCAGTTGTGAAACTATCCCATACCAAATCGCCTATTACTTTAAAAATGAGCAAGACAAATAAAAATGTTCTTACAGAATATACAGCCATTTGCTACTACAATTTAATTCTATCTGAAGTCATATGTTAACAGTCTCACATAAATATAAGCACACATTTATATACGTAATGCGTGTCTCACATTCTGTCTGAACAGAAAAAAATTCTACAAACCCTAAAGTTTTAATTCCAAACTTCACAAAAGCAAATAACCACAATGTTGAAATGAGAGGAAGAGCAAGCAGGAAAATATCTGGATTTGTTGTGTTAATACCCACATTAGCTAAAAAAAAAAAAAAAAAAAAACCCAACCAAAGATAAAAGCACATTTCTTACCTTCACCTACCATAGAAACACCTATTGACATGCCCATAAACTTGCTTTTGGTCCATACGTGAGCGTTCACACACATTTTCTTCTCTTTGCACTCACAGTAAAAGCAAGATACCGGTGGATGATGGGATACTTGTTCAGCTACAAACCTCAGCTTGTAGCATGTGGACTGGTCCTGGCCAAACTCCTTGGTTGGGTCCTTAGAAACCGTGGAGGCACCGTTAGTTCTGAATGCTTTCACTTTATCTTTAGGCACATCCCACGAGCAATGAAACGTTTCACCAATTATAGGGTTATAGGGCTTCTTGGCAACCGCTCCCTTTCGGCCTTCGTGAAAAGCTGTTAGATAATACTCCACAAAGCAGATAATTCTTTCCTCGGGAGTGGCTCCAGCTGCAATTGACAAAAACAGGTCTGGATGGGCCATGAAATTTGCATACATCTCCAGCAGGGATCTTTTCTCCAAAATAAATGTTGGAAGCACTACCTGTATGCAAAGCAGACAAAGGCAGATATGATTTCCCCATGATCATACTACCGCGGGGGAAAGGGGAGAAGAACAGTTAAGACAGCTGCAATTCTGGCCCTGCCAAGTTTTGGGACAGCGTGTTTTCCTCCCCTCTGCCACAGCAATTTCATTTTCTTTGCAGTGTAAAGAATGAGCCAAGGAAAAAGCAGTGGCCTTGGGAGCTGTGCAGGCTGCTTCCCATTTCATTACGATTCTCAACAGCAGCTCACGCAACAGGGAGGGGCTGTTCTGCTCTCATGGAAATCTGCCTTTTCCTGTCTTCCCACTGAACAAATCAACCATTCTGCTCCTTGCTTACAGGACATAAAAACATACTTTGATGTAAATTAATTTAATTTACATCAAACATCAACAAACCCAACTACTCATAACCCTCCCAAAAGGGCAAGGCACACCCTCCCAAACCATTAGAAGATGAGTATTTTACATAAACATACACATCATCAACCTGTAAGTGGTGGAGAGTGTAAGGGATACATCTACTCGTTCTGTCAAACAACTGGGCTCCCAATTTCACTCCTGGGCCCTTGACCACCCACTGCTTACGTATTAGATTCCTTCCTCTAACAAACCAAGGCAACTAGATCCAACCAAAAACAGATCTCAGGTGTGTTTCCAAGGATAAAACCACACCAAGGACTCCCCCCAAGAGGCAGGAACAACTCCAGGTTTGACTCCCTTTGCCCTACACTGTCATGATGTGTGTCTTGTCCCCTCTCCCACCTCCCAGGTCAAATCCCTTGCCACCCTTCTGCTCTCCTGTCACCCCCAGGCACATGGCATGTCCCCTCAGTTTGAGACCATACCATACTCCAGTGGCAGGCCCCTGCATGCCTTCACCTTATTTCAGACAAGCTGAAAGAAGCAAAAACTGCACAAACTGTTACATCAATGTTCTGGGACTAGAGAGGCTCCAGGGGGCCCAAAAAAAAAATCTGGGACTGAGCACTAGGCAGCCTGCACTGAAGGGAGCCAGCCCCGAGTGATCTGGTTGCAGTCTCAAGTGGCTCAGCTAGCAACACAGATGTTACCAAAGTCACCCACTTGGGTGACTTTAACGCTTTGTTAAAAGTTTTCAGTGAAACACCCTGGAGTGCACTGCAAGACAGACAAGGGCTACAGGACCTAAAATAATTTATTTATCTCCGTTCCTTCTCCCTCACCCTCCACACCTCGTGCAGGACCATCATAGGGGAGCTCAGCGGTCACTCCTGCGTGACCAAGGAAGTTCTGACACCCTCAGATTTGTCTAGAATCAAAGTGGCTCACTGATGCAGACTAACAGCTGTCCTCTATAAACCCAATTCTTTTGCTTTCCTCTTTAATTCTTCATTGCATTTACTTTTTCCCTTTCCCAAAAACAAGGGTTATTTACTGCAGGCAGGGAGCCATCCTTCAAACACACACATTTGTCTTCCGCCCTGCCTCCCTAGCTTGCTATTCTAAGTGGGACCAAAGCACAGTTCAGTCCTTTAGGATCCCATGGATAACGAACTAGAAGCTGTCAAACTTTTATTCATCGTTTAGTTCTTTTCAAAGAAAACTTGTAAACATGAAAAAGTTTCCAGTCAGAACAGCTCAAACCCTGTCTTAACAGCTACACAGTAAGTCAACATACCACAACTGCAAAAAAACAGATCACCATGCCGTTTGGTAACATACATGCTCATTCTCTCTCTCCTTCTGTATCTTATTTACACACATACAGGCTTTTATAGGCTAATAATTTTTACAAGTTTAGGTACAAGTCAAGCAAAGTTCCATCTGTAATATTCCTCTGAATTACCCTGTAAGCCTTGAGGACTCTACATGGTCTCTGTTACCAAGCTAATGAGGCCCCAAAAGATGCAGGACCTTAATTTTACACTGTGCGTGGCAAATTAGTGAGTGCTAAAGACAGCCTACCGCCCCCATGGTGGTGTGATAGTGAGGGGCTGAGGAGATTAGTTTTTAACAGTGAAATCTAAAACTTTGGAAGGCAAAGTGGAAAGGTAGTAGATTTTCTTACAGTATTTTTAACTCTTTAAACAACTCCATCTTACTTGCAACATTTTCATTCTGACCAAATACTCATTATCTGATAGAATCTAAAATCTATAAAAAAATGCAATTCAGCATGAGTGAACCTCAACACAGGAGCTCGTTTTAATATGTTTTGTACACTCAAAGACCAGGTTATCAAGGAGGAAGCTGACAGGAAAACATAGGAAAAAACCCATCACTCGTGTCTAGAAATACTAGTAGTGACTACCATGAGTTCACTGCACAGACCTGAAAGGGCAGAGAAACTCATTTGAATAAACAGCACTCTGCATCTCGTTATGTCCAAATGCCTCTCTAAAAAGAGTGACCTTTATTAGCACAAATGGAGGAGAAGAAAACTACAGACCATGCTTAAGATGATGCAGATTTTATGGTACAACATTAAGACTGCTGTGGTTTCATCCTGTTGACTTGATCACATAGTCCTCCTATCTATTCTCACAAGTACTGGCTGTGCTTTGCAGCTACGTACTTAATACAGCTACACCAACACAGCCACTAAATGAGATGTTACAAATCACTGGGCTTCTATTATTCAGTTTCAAGAATCAATTTAAAATCCGAATAAAGCTTGAACTCCAGCTTAAATGATCTTCCTTTAAAAGCCCAACTAAAACAGACACTACATCCTTAATTGTAGCAGGAAAGGATCCACTGCAAAGTGCAGAATAATTGTTTCCACAAAAGGAGGCAGAACTATGTATGAAAAACATTTAAGTTTTAAAGCTTATACACCTCCAGTACTACAAAATATGCCTAGAAAGCATTGCCTTTTACTAAATAATTTCATAGCCTCAAAGTTCCAAAATGCAACATCACACACTAACATAGTCCAAAAAACCTTCACACCATTTTTTTTAAATGGCTCTATCTTGATTTCTGCATAAATAAGCAAAATAGAAATAAACAAATTTGAAAGCGTACACTGTTCTTCTTGCCAGTGTTGGACTGTCATGCACTTGTGCTAGTACTTTAGCTTCCAAAGGAATGAGATGTTCAACTCTTCTGCAGCCAAACTGTCCAGAAAAATACACTTAGGACCTATGTTCTTTATATTGGGTTTGGACTACAGCAATTTTTAAATTTTTTTTGTAATTGCATAAAAAGTCAAAACTGCCTAATTTTTTCCTCTGGGAACAAGCCAGCATGACAACGAAATGGACAAAAGAATCTCTCCACAATAAATACCAAGCGGGTGAATGAAGTCTGAAGTTAAAAAAAAAAATCTCCTGACTGTATTCTAAAATTCTCTCTCAGGCTTCATGTGAAAAGGAAGCAATTTAGTAGGCATTCTACCATTTTCATTGAGGTTAAAAAGAGGATATTGGTTCAGAGCTCAGTCATAATCTCCTAGGTTTGAATTCACCTATACTTAATTAGATCTGAATGCAACTTAGAAAAGGAAGAGCATGAATTCTTAGGAACAGAGGTGTTTATCCCCACTACTATTTACTGTGAGGCAAAACATGGGTGTCAGCACCATTCCCTGCTTTTCCCACCCGCCCCCCCAGAAATCTGACCGGGATACCCCATGCTGAGATGTCCTTCTCTTCGAGCTACAAAAGCTTTCCACTGTCATCTGTCGCTGTGGGAATAAAACAGGCTATTTTCATCCCACTTGTATTTTAAAATTACAAGGTAAAGTATATTGACAAGCAAATGAAAAACTTACAACATCATGAACATACTACAATGATAATTTACAACAGGTTGATATTCTGCAAAATTACTGGAAGCCCTTTATTTTTAGCACACATTAACTGCGTAGGGAAGGTAAGGGAATGTGGGGGAGTGACCACCCATCTGTACAAATTGTTAGCATTAGTTTCAATCCATTAGACGCCATTTGCCAACACGCTTATCAGGCTGTCAGTGATTTTTGGCGCTATTTTTCATTTTTTAAAAGTCCAAAGAACAAACAATTTAGAAACTTATTTTTTGTCAGCAATTCCAATTTTAAATGAGGTTTAAAGTCCTAGCCCAGTCCAAGGCATCAGTTTTGTGCTATGGTCTGCTGCTGCGAACAGCTCCCCTGCCCAACTCTCTCTAGCAGCTATTGAAGTCTATTTGGCCACCACAGAGCCTAGCCTATTCTAGCAAATCCCCATGCAGATTTAATACGTTGTTGCGGGTATTTTCCTTCACAGTAGATTTTTACTGTTTAACTCCTCATTAAAAGGCATGGCAGCATGACGCATTTCAAAAGTGAAGCACCTCTGCAACATTAAATGCGGCTATCATCACTGTGGGAAATTCACATCAGCGTAGGCAAGGCCAACACTAACATAAGCAAGCACCCCGTAGGAAAAGGAAAAGATGCTGTTTCCTCTGATATGGTACATGAAGGTAATGATTACGCATCTAGAACCAAAAGCCACCAAGGGCTCAGAAGAGCTGTTTGTTCATGTGTGTATCATGTTACGATCCATAGCTCACCAAATGAGCCAAAAAAACCCAACCCTAGGGAAGAAGGCACAGGAAAATGGAAATGTATAAAACATCCTCTGAGATTAGCAACTACTGTGCCACAACCACTTCCAACAGAAGCTGACTAGCATCAAAGCTATCAGAAAGCTGACTTTCAGAGCAATAATGAAAAACGAGAAGAGGCGCAGCCAATAAACCAAGCTTTATCATCACGTGTCTGTGGCCCTAAGGGTCCCATGTCAGGAAGCAAAGTTAATAAAAAGGCAGCCAGCTGTCTTGTAATTTATTTTTTTTAATCCTCAAAACAGTCAGAAAAGTGATGTGCACATGTGGCATGTCTCATTAGTATTTGTCATATGTGTATTCGTGCATCACACAGACCAGAGATAGATCTAACTCTGCCATATGCCTGTTCCTCTTTTCAGACTGTGGGTATTATATACACACATTCATGCATGCTAATATTATGCCATATTATAGATCTGATAATATTCATCACTATCCTCAAAAACTGTGCTCTAACAACATTATGTAAGAAATAGGTTATCATTTATATTTACCTTCCTACTTTTCCTATAAGTGTCTACACTTCTCATTTAATTTACAGGAATTTCTCTTAGTACAGGAATTTCTTTTATTTACATTAACTGTCTATCTTTGGGGTTCTTTGCCTCCACCGCCGTGACAGAAGGATGACACTGGAAATCAGGGAAGAAAAATCTTATTACCAAAGACAAAATGTTATGAAGACACAAGAACAACAGAGAAGGAATCTTAGTCTAGTTTAAACATTATGGACTGAGAGAGTCTTAGCAAACCGAGATAGAAAAGAGGAAGAGCTATGAAAAATTGAGGAATGTAAGAAAAACAAACTCAAAAATGAACTGTATGTAACCCCAGACATACTAGGAAGTGACAGGTATAAATTATTCACAAATGAAATGATGAAACTTTTGTTCTATTTAGAACAAAACATTCATTTCCATGCAGCCATTTGATAGCTATATTTAGCAAGAGATCAGAGGATTGCTCAGTCTTAAAAATGTAAGTATTTTTAAATACTATCAGTTGTTCCAGAGGAAGCAGAAAAGACTATATTGAGAAAGCCTTATTTTCTAAGAAAGTAATAGTAAAAATAGATTTTGATTAGTATGTAAGATCAAAAGGAAAGCAGATGAACTCTTCAGAATATCAAAATGCCCACCAGAAGAATCTCCTGCATAGCTACTTCATGTGCAAATTTAATTCTCCGGTCATTACAAACTTTTTTTATTTGTGGAGACAGTTAAGTCAGAATAATCTATCTCTTCTTATTTGTGGGAAGTGGATTATAGAGGTTTTATTTGCCTTTTTTTTTTTTTTTAAGTAGAAAACCTTTGTGGAAGAAAAGGGTATTCCATATCTTTTACAAAAATCCACTTAATAATCAAGTCCCATGAGAAGATTATTAAGTCCCTGGAATGTAGGACTATTCAAAGAGAGGCACTCCCTGCTTCCAGAACATCTACCTCATTTCCAAAACTCTAAGGACTTATGGGAAATTTTGCAGACACCATAACTTCTCTGATCTATCAGTATGGATAAGTTCATAACAATACTGGTTCCAGGACCAGAAGGATGCACAGAAGGTTAAACTGGTGAGCTGCTTAGCACATACAAGAACAGTGATACATTGAAGACTAATTTCTTCACCATCATGATTGGGTTTTTTTCCTTCGAAGCTGCCAAATAATTAAATGGAATCCAATCTACAACGCAATAACTTGAGCACCTACCTCCTTCATCCATAAAATTGACAGTATGGTTCCTCAAACACTCAGTGTACTCTGACTTAACATATGTGTAGGACACATACACTACATATGGTTGCTTTTAAACACTTACAAAAAAAAAAAAAGATGACTTGGGTGTGTGTGTGTGTGTGTTCCTTTTTCTTTCCCTTCCCCCTCATCTCTAAAATATCTGACAACACTCCATAGCTCTCTGGAACCACACCTTTATGAAGAGGCAAACTTGATTGTCCACGGGGGCAAAACATGCTCACAGGAATCACACGTGTGCACATGCACACACACACAGAAGGATGAGAAGAAGAAAAAAGAGTGAAGAATTATAAAAAAGATACAGTGTCCGTACCCTGGTAAGGTCCATGCCAAGTTTGAGCTGAGAGATGAGATGAAGAATTACACTACGTTGATCATCCATGACTCCTAAATCCTCCTCTTCATTATCTTCAGTATCTGTCATTTCATCTTCAACTAGGATCAACTCAGAAGCTGAATGCTGAAATGAAAAAAAACATCACCATCTGGACAAAAAGATACAGTATGGGTTTTTTTCCAATATATAACTTTAGAAATGGAACTGTCTCAATGGAACTAAAGACAGCCTCTGTTAAAACCCAGAAAAGATACAAATTTGAAATAAAATAAAAAAAAATACAGGGATGGGTTCATAGGGCAATTTGATCCTATCCTCAGAACAAGAGCCGTAAGTATCAGATGCTAATTTATACATTATCTTCTCATATTTATATGGCAGTGATGCCAGACAAAAATCACAGTGTATTAAAGTAACAGGTCTTCTATTTAGTAAATAGAAGTACACAGTTGAAAATGAGTCTTCAAGAGTTTGTTTCCTAAATCTCTCCAGCAAATATTCATACTTCACACCTAGATGTTGCATGACCTGATTTCACACTATTTTTCTCCTTTCCTCTATCCAACTTCCAAGTTACGTACCTAAGAAAGTCAAGACTATTAACTGAAAGGGATAAAAGGACAACTAAATTAAAGTACATACCTTTGGGAAAAAAACCAGACACATTAGATTTTGGGAGGTAATGTCACGACTCTTTATGACATTTGCAACATTACGCTCCTTCACAGCACAATAATGCCAATAATGCCCAGTTTCCAGACATACTAGCTGAAGATTAAGAGAGAGGTATCGTGCCATCTCCTTTCAACAGCAACTTTACAGCAGAAAGGGGTAATGATTTGTGATGCTTTATTTCCCCTCAAGGTTTACAATATATTACTAACAATAATCCAAACAGGTGGTAGTTATTTTGTTCAGTCCATTGAAACCACTCTGCAAGCCTTCCAGATACATATTCAGGTAACTTTCTGGTACTTTATAAAAAAAAAATAAATCAGGTTATATAGCTGAAAAATTTACTGCCCAGAATTTCATTATTCCCCAAGGTTTCCATGCTGCAAGTGAGACAACAGTACCTGCAAAAGTTAACATTCCTCCATACTAAAGAACATTTTTGCAGAAACAGCTAGTTTGCTACATAAAATGAGAAATTTTTCATCTCGCTTTGAAAGTCTTTGCAACTGAAAAGTTTCATTAAAACTGGCTGATATTCAGAATTAGGTTTCAAAGAAATATTTCTGAATGATCACATTAGAGACCCCTCGGGTGAACAGTAGCTTGTGTAAGGAGAGTGTCTCTGAAACGTAGTTACTACAGATGTTTCCACGATTTGAATAAAGTGTTTTCTCTTTTTTTTTTTTTTTTTAAACTAAATAAATGCGTAGGTAGCTACACCCAAAAGAATAGCTATTTGGTGAAATAGAAGGACATTTGAAAGACACTTTGCAATCACTTTATTTAGAAAGTAGAATGTGTAGATTACATAAAACAGAATCTGGTGAGCTGTAACCTCAACAGCTTGGAGCTTTTCAAACGGACAAAACCACACTTTCTTCTTCCCACTCCCTCAGAAAATAAAAGGATAGAACAATAAACCCTTTCCTCTCAAAATGCACAGCATTATTATCCAACTGACGCCTTACTGACAAGTTCAATTAACATAAAACCTGACAACCTCATACAAAATTATCAGTCGGGGAGACATAAAGCACCGAAGCCTGGCTCAGCTGCACAGGCTACGATTCGTTTGGAGGGAGCGTGGAAAAAGCAGTATCAGAACTTACAGTGGATGCTTCCACAGGAGGTTTCCCTTTGATCCAGCTTGACCTCATTGAGAGCTACCGAATAAGCACTGCTGCTTCTGTTACTGCCATGAACCGAGCTCGCGGCAAACAAGCTCCAGCAGGAAATAACAAAG